GATAGAAGGTCCCCGGGGCGTTCTTTGTCCTAGAATTTTGGTGGGTACCGAATTGTGTCACGACAAGAGGAAGTACTGCGTTATACTAGGAGGCTGCGTTATACTAGGAGGTTGGTTGGTGTACACATACTGCGGTTGGGAACTTATAAAAACGTCAGAACGACCGAGCAACTAATGCTTTTGACAAGGAGGCCGGTCAGGTGCACTTCGGTCAGGTGCACTTCCTCCATCCACCTCCTCACAAAGCGGTCGTCAGTCCACATGCCTCAACGGTGGTTTGTTGTTACCGGGGTTTAGAGCTTTCGTTTTTTACGGCATGTGCTCTCGTCGCCCTCTATCAACGCGGGCCGTCGGCACAAGTTGAGAGGCTGGTCGGATACTGGACCGAAGTCGGGTTGTTTTTTTCCCGGTAGCTCTTGTCGATCAACAGCTTGGAAACTCATGTTGCGTGAAGCGCCGGGGTCGTAAACTTCTCGGTCGTACGCTTCTTGGTGCGCAACTGATGCCAGAGTCGTTGTGGACGGCGCGAGCCACAGGCGGGCAACGTCCTCCGGGAACGATGAAGGTGCTGAGCTCGTCGGCTTTGTTAGAGATGATGCCGCGAAAGGTGCCTTCAGCAAGGTCGGGGCTATAGAAGCCTCCCGGGGCTGGGGAATGGGTGGTTGGAAAATTGTAGCCCGGGAGGCGTCCGAAGAAGTCAGGGCCTTCGAGAGCGGTACAAGTGGATGGGCATTTTTTGTCCTTGTTGTATTGGAAGTTTAGAGGCCTGCAAAGCTGTTGAAGCCTGTAAGGCGTGCAGCATCTGATGACCCCGAGGACGCATCCGAGGAAGCATGGGTCTGACAAACACGTGGTGTTCGGCGAACCCCAGAATTGTCTGGACACACGCGCGAGATGGTCGCAGGCCCCGCCGCCTAACCTGTTGTAGAGAAAAGCCGTCAGCTCAATGTCCACTGGATTGATCCACTCGATCGGTCTCTGGAACATCTGGCGTAATGACGCGCGACGGTCTGGGTTTCGATTGGTCTCGAGTAGCATGTGAAGGAACAGAGAAGCTGTGCATGCTCGCTCGGCTTCAGACGCAGGCAAACAGGAGAAGTGTTGCGCTGCGTTGTCTGCATACAACTTTAGGTTGCTGAAAATCCAATTATCACACGGGAGGTTTAGCATTCGGACCCACGGCAGGATATTCGCAACCGATCCAACAGACTTCTGCAAAAGCGCCGCAAAGAACCACTGGTTACTAACACCCTTCGGTCGCTTCCCACTTTTCTCAATCAGCTTCAGCACTCTGGCGCGATCTAGCCTGTCATACAACACACCAGCCACCCAGGCCCATACGGACCTGACATAGTCTAAGCGGAGGCTCACCGGAAGATCCCATTGCTCGGACCCGTGTCTCTCGGACTTGCGTAATGTTCGGCCGATTATGTGTTCAAGCCACTCCATAACCTTCCGCAAAGCGGGCTCCGGCATGCTACCGGGCAAAGTGGTGTCCTTTGCCTGCAGAAAGTGAGCGTGCATCGCGTTTGCGACCAACTGTTCCGCTTCACTCACTTCTGCTCGTTCCGCTTCACTCACCTCTGCTCGTTCCGCGTTGACCGGCTCCACGTTGATCGGCTCCACGTTGATCGGCTCCACGTTGATCGGCTCCACGTTGATCGGCTCCACGTTGACCGGCTCCACGTTGACCGGGACGGTAGCCCTGTTCAGATCCGGTAGACGGCCGAAGAAGTCGTCGCCTTCGGACGCAGCCTCCACATACACTCCAGTTTGCCACTGGCGGTACGGGAGTTGCAGATGCTTGCAAAAGCACTCGGCACCGCGGTTGAGGTATGCATTGAGGAGGCGTAAGAAGCATCCGAGGAAGCACGGGTCTGATAACCGATACGCTTCCGGATGGTCAAACAACAGCCTGGCGACTTGAACGACCACGCCAAACCACTTACGACCCAACGT